AGGTTCATCAGTATCCAGTCGTCACTGGGCGTTCTTCGTCGCCACAGTTCCGTACAGGAATGGGTGCAGCACACCGATCAACAACTGACTTCTCGGAGCAAACGCACTCCAAATGCAGTCGTAGTTTAATCGCATCATGTTCGAGAATAGTGTCGAATTGCTGCAACTGAGAAAATCTCTACTGGTAAGTCAACATGTCACGGGTTAAACCATACTTCAGTAGGGATTAAAAGAATGCAATCCACGGATCTATTGGTCCGGAGGGTCGGACACACAGCTGAGATAAATGCAGCATGGTATTTAACGGAAGTATTAACCATAACGGAGTGTCCCACTGTTGCCATTTGTCTGAACTTCGTTGCCGAGGGGGGATGGGGGGGTCTAGATCCCTGGCACCCGTAAAAACAAACTTTTTTTCAATTTCAACCTAAATTGGCTGGCTCCCTTCGTGGTTGACATCCAATCGAAAACGATCATCAACATTTCTAGAGCGAAAACAAGTCTGCTTCATGAAGCACGAAAGGTATGAAAACGGTCCAGATGAGTGCTGGCAAAGATCTTAGTAGATATTTTGATGGGTCTGGTGCCTCTGTACGGGCTGCTTTTCAACTGAGCACACTAACCTCTCATCGTTCATAGAAGCTGCCAAAACGGGTCGGTTGAATGGCAGAAAATAAAGTTACGCCATAAGGGAAATTGATGCCCATCCTGGGGTGGCAAATGACACTTCAACAGGTCAACTGCGGGGGGCTGTTCTCGAAAGTTATGGTAGGTCAAAATGGTCAACAGCGACAAAAGGGCCTCCAAGCAGCTGGAAGCGAAACGCTGTTCCACAGCAGTTGGTGAGCCGGCGACAACAGCTTCACAACCGCAAGCAAACTGTAAGTGACAGTACCCAGAAACTTGACAAGGTTCTATATAGTTAAACGGTTTTGTTTAGAGTTACGTTTCTGACTAGAAGGCAACTACTGTAACTAATAACAGACATTTTGCAGAAGTGGATAAATGAATATTGAAGAAGGCAATGTCGTTAGGATCCATGTCACTCGAAAGTGTCTACGGAATTGTCCGAATTTATCGAGCACCAGTCAACTCTGCCCTGTGTGTGCGGAAGGAAGGGGAGTCGAAACTGCAAGCGGTTGACCCCCCTTACGTCAAAAAGATCTCCAAAGTGAAGTACCGAGAATGCATCCCGAAGTAGGCAGTCTGCAGTGGCCACAACAACATCAGGCCATCGTCCAAGAAAGACGGTCGAAAGTGTCGGTTGAGCAGGCACTTCTCACCCTACTGTTGATGCCCTTAGTCCTACTTTGTCGGCTCATTCGAGGCGACGAAGAAATCTGCCAAAAATGTGACTCGATAAAATCCGTCCGGACGACTCCTGGAAATCCGATCGCCCGTCGTCGCTAATGGAGCTCGTCACGCTGACCAGATGGCTGCTGCATATCGTCAAGCGCGTGCGGCAGACTTGCTCGATTCTGACTGCTAATCACCCGTCCCACTTGCATTCGGATATCTCTTCTATTTTAAGCTACAAATTACCT